TGAGAACACCAATAATCTTTTGTGTGAGGGAACAAACTGTCGCAGAGAACAGTGAAGGCAACTCAGCAAGAACCGGGCCTTGGAGAAGCTGTGAAGATATGAGGGAGACAGTCAGACAGCCGGCTGGCCAGTCCTTTGCTCCATCTGTCTGTCTGCTGAGGAGTGAACTGACAAGTACATCTACTATGCAGTGCACATCTTCTCTGCTCAGGTAGGGAGAAATCAAAGGCAAATTGGACGTGATAAGGTACCAGTGTGCTACAAGGTAAGAGCTGGCGCTCACACTCTCTATCTGCCTGTCCCATACCTGCTCTCCATCCAGGCTCACCTCGAACTCTGATTTAGCTAAAATAAATTGGGCTGCCCTGTTTAGCAGTGCACCAGTGCTGGGTTCAGAAAGTAAGGGGGTGTCTAACAAAACCTTCTTCGTCTGTTGCAGAGTGAGGAGTTTGAAAAGCAAACAGCTCATAGGGCTGCAGGATGGATGAAGACGTGTTGGAAAAATCTCACCAGATAGAAGACCTTCTGCATGGGTTAGGACTGGAGCACAGCCTTCAGTCTCATTTGCAACTGCTGTCTGGGCTGAATCAAGAGATGTGTATTTGCTGCAGTGGATATAGAAGAGCGTGTCAACTTCCACCCAGGTGTATCTGAGGAGGAGAGCGGCTTCCTGGGTCTTCTGTTCCCACAGTGCTCCTATTTTAGACTCTGAGACCTCCTCTGACTTTTTGTGGTCCAAATTCTTTTTGCCTTTCTTTGGGGTCTGTTGAACTGAACTTATATTTGTTTTTAAAGCCTTCGTTTCCTTTGACAACAGATTTAGCAACTCCTTGACTACCTGTTGCATCTCCTCCATCAGGCCCAGACTCTGCCTGATCAAAGGAAGGGGAGATGCATTGTCTAGAGTCTTCAGACTAAACAAAACAACATGAAGCAGTTGGCTGACGGAGAATAGCTTCAGAGATGCATCCTCTCTCTCTTGGTCCAACTTTATTTCTGTATTCTCTCCTTTATCATCAATCTCCATCTTCTCTGCCCCACTTTCCCCCTTGACCAGGTCAGGTAGAATATATCTCCGGATGCTCTCCAATACTAATGAGCAGATTTCTAGGGCCTGTGAAGGGGGGGTATCCAAAAGACAAGTCCTGAGCGAGGTGGAGATGCCTTCAGGCAGCAGAGGCGGTCGGAGTTCGTCCAGGGCTGGCTGACAGATCACAGACAGGAGCTCAGAGAAGAGGCGAGGCAGCTGACGGAGCTTAGTGTAGGTCTGGAGGATACTGCGCACCATGCTCTGTTGGCAAACAAATGTTTTGTTTGAGTCAAAACTAAACACATTTTACCATTTTATATTCTGCATTTACAATTCTTGGGCAAGATTTTTTATTATTTTTTTTAGGTGAAATACACAATAGGATTAGGAATAAATCAATACCTGTCTGGCACGTTGCACTCGTGCTTCCATGCATTCAGCATTAACCCAGGCTGAAGATAACAGCTGGTCCAGGTCTGGTTCAAGAATTAGATGGTTGAGACTCAACAGCACTTTTAAACAACGGTACCATGCTGGGATGCTGAAAGACAAGACGGGAGAAGTTTTCACTGTATGACCAATGAAACACTTAAACGAAAAAGCCCCAATAATTCTAAACAGACAATGAAAAACCCATCAAGAGGAGTGTTTATGTTTTTACCCCGGTTGGGCCTGGTTGAACAGCATCTGTCCCAGGGCTCTGTAAAAGTTGAGCTGGACCTCTCCATGTCTGATCTTGTCTGCTGCGACATTGTAAATATCGGCAGAAAGAGCCTGGTTTAGCAGGGACTCCACAGCCAGCAGAGCCAGGCTCCAGCTCTCTGGGGAACAGAAAGAGGCTGGGGGAGACTTCTGCCCGGGGGACACAGAGACAGGCTTGTCTGCTTTGGCAGGTGAGAGTCCATCAAGGCCTACGTCCAAGACCTGGACCAACGTGGTGAGGAAATAGAAACACAGCATCCTGTTCGCTTCCTCGCTTTCTCCTCTCCCTTTTCTGTAGCTTTCCAGAAATAACTTCAACAGCAGAGACAATGTGTTCGACTTCACAGTGTAGTGCAGGTGCGGCTCACAGTAGCCCTGAGCACTCAGTTTGGAAAGGATGGCATTTACTGGCTTCAAGGGGCCTTTTGCCCCCCCAGGACCACGTTTCCCAGAATCCTCTTTCAATGGAAGGAGCTCCTCCTTGTAGGAGATCAGGTGCTCGGATGGGAAAAGTGCTAACTGAAGGATGGAGTCTATCTTGATGCGGATGTCTCTGCACAGCTGCTGACGGAGGCGCAGATGTGTGTGAGAAGGTGCAAATTCACCAGAGGTCAGCAGATGTCTGAGTAGTACTAATATCTGGATCAGCTGGTTGGTTACCATAGCAAAGACTCTGTTAGAATTGGCTTGTTGTCGCTGAACTGACAAATAACATGACAGCACCTGAAGTAACACCTCAAACAAATTGGCTGAACGGAGGTTCTCCGTTGGCTTGGAAGAGGATTTATTAGCCTCTAACTCTGGCTGATCTGGAGATCTTTCGGTGACCGGATCAATTTGAGAACTTTCCAAATCGCTTGGAGTTTGAAGACCCTCAGTCATCACCTCATCTTGACATGTGACCGACTCAGTCATTAGGGGTTCTGTGAGCAATGGCTGTTGTTGTAGCTCATGGCAGGCCAGAGAACAGAGCTTAGCCAGGAAATCAACCATGAGTTCATACTTGGTGGTGAAGACAGATGAGAGCGCAGGAGAAGACAGAAGGCCCTGACACACACTCAGTATGGTGGACGCACACACCGGCGACTCAGAGCCAACACGCGCACACTCCTGGAGACGGTCAAGCAGCAGCTGGAGGCAAACAGAGAAAAGAGGTGTAAGTAAAATCTTCTATTTTCTAGAGTATGAATGCCAAAACACTAGTCCAATATCTGATTCTGCAGTAGACAGTCAGTGCTGTAGCATTACAAACGCCACTCTAGATTCGTGGTGGTGTTTTTATGGAAGCATTGCCAGCACACCTGTGCCATGTTGAGCCTCAGGCTGATGGTCTTGCCCTGCTTGAGAAGAGAGAGGAGCTTCCTGCTGTGAAGCAGATCATCCAGGTAACACCAAAGTCCTTCCAGGACATCCTGAGAAAACTCTACTTTCTGGTTGTACCAGCCGGTCAGAGCGTGGGTGCACCAGTCCAACAGCACCTACAGTAAAATAGGGTCACGTCAGACATGTAGATATAAATGGTAGACATTTAACTCCTGCTTTTAAATTAATTTAGGACTATCTACAGACAATGTTAATGAAAAGTGCATCAAGTGCAGACAATGGTCTTGGTCTTCATATAGAATACATTCTTGATTTAGGTTATAATATAAAACATATTTACCTTGGAAGAAAAATGACACAAGGCACTTTTCACGCTGAAAACAGTATCTACAACTACACAGGGTTCCCTACATCAGAACCATGTCACCACATTAAAGCATAATTATCTTTCTATGGAGACACAAACATCTTATACCACAACTTCAGCTGCTACCTGTTCCTTGTTGGGCAGCAGGCACTGAGAGGAGATCCAGGCAAAACGTGCCAGTTTTAACTTGTCCTGCCACGGAGTCTGAGGACTCTTCAGTTTCAGATGGATGCCTGAGTAGATGGCAGCCATTGCTGCAGCTGGTTCTACTGCTGCGCAGGCATGAAGAGGGGGGATTGAGAAGAGAAGTCAGGGCCAGAGAGAGAGAGGGGGGACACAATATAGGGGGAATGGTTAGAAGACCTAAATATTCTTTAAATACAGCGGTGATAAGTATTCATTCCATTTAACAGTAATAACCTACATGGGTGAGCTTAGGGAACAGGGTGAGGACATCTATGTTTACACGATCAGGATGATATTTTTATTTTTTTAACACAAACACACATACGCTTTAATTACTTATGTAATACTTTAATGAAATGTATGGGGTTGATTGTTGTTTTGTAATTTGTATGATACTTTGGCAATACTGTTGTTACACATTATTCATGCCAATAAAGCTAATTTGAATTGAATCGACAGTAAATAACTCACAGACACCACAAAGACATGTGGACATGTGACAGATCTCATGTCTTTAGGCAGTTTGCTCCACAGAGAAGGACCAAAGCAAGCAAAAGCACCCACACCAGATCTGACTCTTATTTTAAGATATAAATTGATCCTGTTCTCGTTGTAGTAACGTAATGTTACAGCGGAGCCTAAGCCCCACACAAGAAACATTTTTTTAAACACTGCAGTCTGGTGCAGGTGTAAATCATTTTACATTTTCAGTTCAAATCTGTTCAAGTCTGTCTGATACCCTCAGTATACACGACTTTACCAAACTTGACATGCTTTACAGCTAACGACAACTAGCTTTAGCATACTCATGCTGAAGTCAAATTAAGCTAATATTTGGGGTGCTTCTCGTCTACACGCAAGCAAACCATCGCTGAGCTTCATCGTTACTTGTTTAAGAATCGTTACATGAATTCAACTAAGCTTATTCGACTTACGACTTTTCAACCTGCACGTGTCTCCTGTTGTCAGATATGGATGAACTTTCAACTTTCACCCTGGCGCCCCGGCAGAAGCAATGGAGAGTCGATTGAAACTGTCGGCCACGCCGACAAATATTCACTTTTTGCCTTCACAGAGCACAGACCCTGGTAAAAAAAAAAAAAAAATTTTAAAGAGGATTTCCGAATGATTATGAATTCAGTTCATTTATTTAAAAATAACTGAAAACAAATTTGGTCGAGAGAACACTTATTTGTCGAGTAAATAACTTAATTAATTATTCCATGTAACCATACTATAAGGCAATAAGTATGTTTGTATGACCTAAATAAAATTAACATACTGTTTTGTAATTTTCGTACAAAATGAATGCTACATTTTGTTTTGCAACCGTTCAAAACTCATTTACGAAACACTTCTAACGATCTAGGATCGCTTGGTTATGCCTGGGAAAGTTTGCTCATATTGTCAGCCATTGAATTCACCACGAAGAGGAGGAGGAGGAATACTGTGTCCACGGGAATCAAACCAGGGTCACCTTTCCTGTTTCTGCTCTTTTAGACACTTCCAGGGACATTAGGTTTATTTGGTGTTGGATGTTGGTGTTTGTCGATCTTCGGCAGCTTGTGTTTCCACTTTCTCTGCCTGCCAACCAAATATCCAGCGGCAGATGACAGTGACAGGCAGGGTGGTGTTATATAGTAAGAGACTGAGATAAAGTGGGCGACGGCGGCTGTCAGGCACAGATAAAGCGGACAATAACGGTCTAAACTCGACAATGTAGCGGGAAGGAGCTCTGCAGCTGTTCGGATATGGATACGGTGCGTTGACGTGACGGCTGGACGACTAAAATGTTTCGAGTGGATTTACTAAACAAGGAACACCTAAATCTGACTTCCCACTGAGAAAACCACTCCTTTTCTTTCACCTTTTGTCAAATTTAGCTAATCAATACATGACAACCAGGACGATGCGGCTTTTATTTCGCATGTCAAGGTGCACACATGGAGTGCATCTGTCCAAAATCAAACTGACACAGCCGAGGATGTTGTGGCTGGAGCACCGTCTGACCGCCTCACCTGCCCTCCAGAGGAAGAGACAGCCGACCGGGGTCAAGCCATCAGTCCATCCGACGCCTGCTTTCCCTTTCTCCCCACCCAGGCCCTTCATGTCTGCTCTGCCCTGGAGTCCACTCAGAGGTCTCTCCATACTCTGTTCACACACACCGACAGGTAGAGCACGGACAGTCTCACACACACCTGTTGCCTTCGCCAGCTCTTCAGCCGCCTCCACACCTACAACACCAGCCGGATCAGCGAAGAACACCCAGGCAGACACTGAGATGAGCCAAACACCGACCACGGTCCCCGTGGAGGATGTTAAAAGGATTTTGCAACTCGCTCACCCGGAGAGATGGAGGCTGGCAGGTAAACTGTGTCTATGTGTCTGTGAGGCAGTCTTGAGAGCCAGATACATGATAAAATAAGATCTATCCATCCGCAGCACATCCCCTGCTGTCATGACTCCACCATTGCCATATTCTACTAAAACTTACTGCTAGTAGTACAGTTGCCACTTTTATTAAGTTTTTTTTTTCTGTTGTGATAGATAGATAGAGATCTCTCTCTCTCTCTCTCTCTCTCTCTCTGTCTGTGTGTGTATATATGTGTGTGTGTGTGTGTGTGTGTGTGTGTGTATATATATATATATATATATATATATATATATATATATATATATATATATATATATATATATATATATATATATATATATATATATATATATATATATATTACTCTCTACCCTGTGAGTTGCATTGTAAACTGCTCTGACCTGACAGGAATTCCCAGACTGGTAACTTCAAAACTGGCTAAACTACATTTAGTAAAATTCTATTCATTACCCAGCAAAGGCTGCTCTGCTACTCAGAGCTGTTTACAATGTTAATTTGGAGAGCTCTGTGCTTTTTAGGGTACCTTTTTTATCGGGTTTTGCTAGATCACTCATTCCAATTTTAAAGTTAAGACTTCCTGTTTTAAATTGTAGCCCTGGATTTTGCTTTCTACAATAATTTGTGTATGTATTAGTGTATGTTTTGCTTTGTTTCTGAACTTTCTCTGTTTCTCAATCCATCCCAGCTGCTGTGGGCTTCTTAACTGTCTCCAGTGCAGTAACCATGTCAGCTCCATTCCTCCTGGGTAAAGTGATTGACACCATTTACACCACTGGAACAGACACAGAGACAATGACGGCTTCCCTGACATCTTTATGTATCATGCTGACGGGGGTGTTCCTGTGTGGTGGGGCAGCCAATGCTGCCAGAGTCTACCTCATGCAGACCTCAGGTGAGACAATGAGGGACTACTAACTTTTTTTAATCAATTGTTTAATCATTTACTTTACAGTATGTCCATCACTGAGCCCAAAGTAATGTTTTGTTAAACTGTAACCTACAATAATTTGTAATTTTATTGACTGACTGCCCAGAACAATTAATCACGAACTAAAAACAAATCACCCGATTGCCTCATTGCAATAGTCTCTTATCTCTGTCTTTCTCATGAATCTCTTTTCTCTCTTCCCCTCTTCAGGCCAAAAGATTGTTCGCAATCTCCGTGCCGCCGTCTTCTCCTCCATCCTCAGACAGGAAGTGGCATTTTTTGACAGGAATAGGACTGGCGAGCTAATCAACCGCCTCTCTGCTGACACGGCCGTGGTGGGCCACTCGATCACTGACAACCTGTCTGATGGGCTGAGAGCCGTCGCTCAGGCAGCTGTTGGTGTCAGTATGATGGTGAGGACGTCCCTCAGAGTGGTAGATCAGGAAAGGTTTGAATGGGGAATCAAAAGTCTTCTGCTATGATACATTTATGTTTTGAATAAATGTTGTATTATGGATGTTTCTGAAATACTTTTAACAAAATTATTCCAAACTAAAGGCAAACTTACTGTCCTATTAGCCACTGAAATCTTTATTTCTCTCTCTAGTACATCTGTTGTTTTGATCGTAACCAATCAGTCTGACTTTTAAAAACACTACAGTCCTTTAACAATAGAGTAAGATGTGTGTGGATATAGTGTTGTGTTGCTCTGTACAAGGTAGTGACTTTCTTTTGTCTACATCTTTCCAGTCTGTGGTGTTGGTATGTGAGCTAAGTGTTTCCGTCTATAGATTACAGGACTGTTGGGAAACAGGTTTACAGAAGTACTTCTTATCAAGACAAGGAAATGGGTGAATTCTGTTGAATGGGTGCAACACTACAAAGTGTAATGTTAGGGTTGAATGATATGCTCAAAAAATCTTTTAACAGAGATAGCGATATGAGTCAGTATTTTAGTGGGAATGGTTATTTTTGCATTTTATTTAATGGGAGATTTGCCGGGGTCTATACCAAACAAGCATGTTCCCTTACGTCTGGAAAGTGTGAATAGAACAGTAATTTGGATATTGCACTTCAGCCCATGACTGTATTTCCCCAAAAAGAAAATCATAAAACATAATGCTCATGACAAACAATTTGTTTTCCTTACAAGGAAGTAAAATGATTTCCTGGTGTCATTAACATTGACGGAAATGAATGGAAATATTTACATCTAATTCCTGATGAGGGCCACTTCATCTGTTTATTTCTCTCTTCCTCCTTACACTCCTTTCTTTGCTTTATTTTCTCCCCTTTAATTTTCCATTAATTGCTCCTTTGTCTTCTCTCTCTCCTCTTGTAGTTCTATGTCTCGTCCAGTTTAGCAAGCTTTGTGTTGCTGATTGTCCCTCCTATGGCCTGTCTTGCTGTAGTCTATGGCAGATACCTTCGCTCCATCTCCAAACACACACAGGACGCGCTCGCACAAGCCACACAGGTACAGTTCACAGAAACACACAGATCAATTGAAGAAGTAGTCAGTAGGTTTTACGATCACAGAACTGGTGTTAAAAATTGCCAGATGTTCAACAGCAGGACATTATGAGTAATTCAATTCAGCCAAAACATCAGTTCATATTAGTAGGTAGTAAAGCCATATAGTCTCGGCTGTCCCTTAGTTTTGCTGATATCTGAAATAAATGCTGCACTGCCTGTGGTACCTTATTAAATTTGCTATGATGATCATCTGATTTCCAATACATAGTCATAATAAAACTGTGTGTGTAGTTGGCAGAGGAGCGAATCAGCAACATGCGGACAGTCAGGGCTTTTGGTAAAGAGCCATCAGAGGTCAACACATACACGCAGAAGACAGACCAGGTCTTCAGCCTGGCCAAGAAGGAGGCGGTGCTACGAGCTGGCTTCTTTGGAGTGGTAAGTATGTGTGTGGGGAGGGGGGTGTGTGTGTAGGTGTGTGCAAATCCACAGTTAGGAATTGAAGTGTTGCACAGAAGCTTCTGCTTTTTGTTGCCATATTTCAGGATTGCTACAATACCATAGTACCTGACATGTCTGTTCATGAGGGAAGTTTCACCATAAAAAAGTATTATCAGATCCTACATACTAGGTCAGAGAATCCTTAAACCCATCTGTGCACTTTAAAAGGTTAAGACGGTGTTGAAATAACTCAATGACACAACTTGGCAAGCAGCCTAAAAGCTCTTAAACAGTTTCTTTCTCTGCCTATCTTTAACACTTTAATACTTTTCCATGTATTAAGTTGTCCCTAAGGTAGGTTGAAACAAAGGTCTGGTTGTCCACCTCTACTTATGTCAATGTTTGTTCCTAACAACTTTCAAGATGATGCAGTGCAATTCATCAGCACCACAAACTACAGCCTTCAAAATTACTGTAAAATGTAATCAGCTCCTATCTTTAACAGTGACAACCAAAACCATATGCTGCATGATAAGGTATCATATTTGTTGTAGGGTTATTGTGTTTATTCAGAGTTAGCTAGAAACTGACAACTCTGTCTGTAGATGGAAAAATAAGCTCTTTGTGAATTTCTCAGCTGATCATTATTTTAAAAATTGTCCTCTCTGTCCACCTTCATTATTCACTACTGTAGGGCACCAGTTATCCTGTAAATCTAATTGAAGTGTTATCTGGTAAATGATATTCAAATATGCAACTCAGTGAACTATAGTTCAATGCTATCACTTGCCAGCTTATCCAACAGGTTAGCAGATGGGCTGTAATCAGTGCTGTGTCAGGGAGGAGCAGTGATGCCAGATATTGAAGTGATCAAATAACCAAGCGCGCGTCTGTGTCTGTGTGCTTCAGACTGGTCTCAGTGGTAACGTCATGATCCTGTCAGTGCTCTACAAGGGAGGCCTTCTGATGGTCAGCCAGCACATGACTGTGGGAGAGCTCTCATCGTTCCTCATGTACACCTTCTGGGTGGGCATCAGTGTTGCAGGTAATACACACATGCATACACACGTATATGTGCATGTGAACTTTCCTATTGTGTGGATTTCCTCATCTGTACTGTTCACATCTGTTTGTTGTGTAGGTCTGAGTTCCTTCTACTCTGAGCTGATGAAGGGTTTTGGAGCAGGAACCAGACTGTGGGAGCTGCTGGACAGAAAGCCAGAGTTTCCTCTAGATGGTCAGCAAACACACACACTTACTCACTCACATAGGCAGGAGAGTATTACCCCATCACATTACCCAATGAGTGCCCAGTTTTGTCCTGTAAACCCCATCATTTGCTTTTTTTGAATTGTTTGTGTCCAGAAAGCAGTCATATTTTGAATAGAATTGATTCAGAGATGTAAATAAGTATTTTTTTCCTTTGATCATTACCGCTTACAGGAAAGTGTATGACGGAGTAGCCTCAACCTTCTCTCTGTGTTTTCACTGCCCGAAGTTTTATCTTTAACTACATACAATACAAACAAAAATGCTCCACTTTCTTGAAAAATGTGAAGATTTTAAATCTTATCAAGGATCAGACGTCAGTAGAAAGTATGAAACATCTCTTGCTTAAATTTTTGCCTGGTCAGTTAATAAACACATTTTAAAATGTAGCAGCCCAAAATTTAGTTCAGTTTTATTTTTGTTCATTTCCTTGTTCATTTGTTTTATTTCTCCCATTTGACTCAGTTTTATTACTGTTACTGCTTACCAATCAAGCAAGTTAAACTAGTCGTTCTATCTTTGTGTCCCTCTTCCTCTGCTCCCCCACAGAAGGCCTAGTTCTTCCTCCAGAACATCTGAAGGGTCAGCTGGAGTTCAGTGATGTCTCCTTTGCCTACCCGACCCGTAAGGAGACTCCAATTTTCCAGAACCTCAGCCTGCTGGTCCCAGCTGGTACCATCATGGCTGTGGTGGGACCCAGTGGGTCTGGAAAATCAACCCTGGTCTCTCTGCTGCTCAGGCTGTATGACACCGACGCCGGTGAGAGCGAGCTTGTTCTGTCTCGTCCCTGATACCCAGATACATCAACCACTGTTTAGTAATCAGACAGTCTTTTTTCCAGGTATCATCTCTATAGATGGTCATGACATCAGAGATCTGAATCCCTATTGGCTCAGGAGTCACATTGGAACTGTCAGCCAGGTGATAAATGACTTGCTTGTGTACAGCAGATCTCATAGCACATACATAAACTGGGCAGACACGCATTGCAAATATTAAGAGCATTTGAGTAAAGACAGTCTTTCTCCCTCTCCGCCTTCCACCTTTTTCCCAGGAGCCTGTGCTGTTTTCTTGCTCTATAAGAGATAATATAGCGTACGGTGCAGTGGACCAAGACGCCGTGACTACAGAGGACATCTACAGGGCCGCCAAAGTGGCCAACGCCTATGATTTTATCCAGGCTTTCCCCAAGGGCTTTGACACTGTAGTGGGGGAGAAAGGAGTGCTGTTGTCAGGTGAGAAACGGTGGCGGAGACACGACAGAGTTATGATAACAACATGCACTTCACAGTCGACACATAGGGCCTATTTAGACAAAGCCTTTATGTGTGTACATGGTTAACGAGTGTTTGTTTCTTAGGTGGTCAGAAGCAGAGGATAGCCATAGCCAGAGCTCTGCTCAAGGTGAGTGCAACAACATGGCTGTTTTTACTGTTTATCCACATCAGAAGGAAGCACAACTCAGGTTATGACCAGTCATCTGCACATAATAGTTATCCAATAACCAGGTAGTAGAAACTGGATGTTCCTGTCACATCAATATGTAATAATTCTGTTCACTGAATCACAGCTTTCCCTTTCGTCTGTGAAACCTGAATTAGTTTGTATAAAACTATTTGGTGTGCCCCCCCCCCCCCCACAGAATCCTAGGATACTGCTTCTAGACGAGGCTACAAGGTGAGAAAAACTGAGGCATGATTAAAGAATTGTTGTGGACCAGCTAACAAGATTACATTACTTACAATACCTTCACTATCGTTACCTGTTGGCCTTTATTTACTCCTCTGTCCTACAGCACTGTAGATTTGTGTGAAGGTTATGATGATGATGCTGCCTTTAGAAACAGTTTTATAGTGCAGGTTAGAGACACAGGTTACTTTGTCGAAGAAAATCCTGAACAACTGTCTTTCCTCAGTGCACTGGATGCTGAGAACGAGTTCCTGGTCCAGGAAGCCTTGGAGCGTCTGATGGAAGGTAGATCTCTCCTTCTTTTCCGTCTCTCATTGTATTAATTTGAGAATAAAGCTTAAATTGTGGTTCTACAGGTACACTGATGCCTTTCTTTGCTTCTCCTGTTTTATTATTCCCTGCCCCTTTCACCCAATCAACAGGGAGAACGGTTGTGATCATCGCTCACCGTCTGTCCACCATCCAGAATGCGAACGCCGTTGCTGTACTGGAACAACGACGTATAGCCGAGTGTGGCCAGCACACAGAGCTGCTAGGCAACAGGCAAGGGCTGTTCAGAAAACTGATGGAGAAACAGGCGTTTCTACAAGAAGAACAGAAACGGGCACTTCGCTGAGACGACCGGGAGTACAGACGAGTGGATGAGAAAGAGGGAGAGGTGAGGTCGATGGCTGGGAAAGTGGCTTTGCTCCTCAAAGGAGCTTTTATCCTCATCCTACCCATGCAAGGCATTGCCTTACATGGGTAGAGGTGGATAAAAGCTGAGGAAAGCAGAACTTTTCACAAGACTACAGATGAACACGAGAGAGAGAGAGGAGATTGGTAAGCCAGGAAACCTAAAGGGAATCTCTTAAATGCTCTATCCTTTTGCTGGAATGACTATGTAGCACCACATGATGAGCTGTTTGAAAAGGAAACATAACCCCTTTTGTTCTCTGCTGTCTGACACTGTAGTCTGTTATCACTTAACAATTTTTCACAAACAAACCAAAAACAGTCCAGTATGATGTGAACTGCTAAATATGTATTTCTTTATGAATTTGTGTCTATTTATTACTGACTTTTTAAACTCAAAGCTTACATGCAGAGCCTGTCATTTTAGAGTTTAAACAAGTCAAATGAAGCAGCTACTTGTGTTGTAAAACAGGACTACACACCATTCTTACCAATCTTTGATAACAAGAACACAGATTAATTTATGCACATTTGTCATGGAAAATTAGTGTGCTATGTAAGTGATTGTCCTGTAAGTCACAGCTGAGGTGCTGCACATCTGAGAAAAAAAAAAAAAAAACGGCATTGGTCTCACTGTATCATATTTAAACTGGGTGTGGTTTGCTAAAATGTTTCTGTTCAGTTCACTTTTTAGTTTTTCTTGCTTTGGATTTATTTTACTTTATCATCTTGATATGTCTAACAACATAAAATGTGCACTGTTGCTTGGGGGAATTTGACTGAGGGCTGTTAAACAGCCTCTTTTCTGGTGAATGTCCTGCTTTCAGGGAGGAAGGGTCAGAGTCAGTCAGTTTTTTCAGTCAGTCAATTTTTCAGTTTTGTATTTTCCCTTCAGTTTTGTATAGTGTCTTCAAAAAGTTACACAGTGCCGGTCTAAATGTAGTCTTAGCATTCTTGGTCTAATCTAGTAATGGTGGATAAACAGAAACCAACACTTAACTGTGTGAGAAAGTGCCGCGGTTCTGACTGTATACTGTTGACCACTGTGTCTGTCAGTCTGTCATGAGTCATGATCGTCCCCCCTCCATGCTGTGTTCACTGGTAGTTGTTCACACAATGTGCACTGGGCCAGCATTAAATGCTATATAAACAGCTGTAAAACCAGGGACATCTTAGCCACAGCGCTATTGAGCCAGCTAAATATTACAGCTGGCTTGGAGAGCCTGACTAAGAGGTAATGATTCTCCTCAGTAAATATTTGGATGGTAAATGACCACTTCCGTGCTCAGGGGCAGTCTAGACCGGAGTGTTTCAGAGGATTTTCTTCTTTTCTTCTTTATTTGAATTCGCCACTGCCCTAAAGGGAATATAGAGTCCCCAGTTTTTGTTGATTGAACTACTTAAGGACAAACATCCTTTGTTCATTGAGAAAATATTTGCTGTGATTCTGGAAACAGGTTTGACTGGGTGCTACTAAAAGTTTAACAATCATTTAACAACAAGGACTTGTTTTATGGTTAAAAAAACCTAATGAACAACAAATCAAACTGTGGCTATATGATGTTTGTCATGGCTCTGACACATCACATCTGGCAGATGAGAAACTCTAAACAACATTGATATACAGCGCAGGATATATACAAATGATCACATATTATTAAAATCAGTCTCTTCAGAACTATATATCTTATATTTCGGTTGACTTAGAGGTCAGGACTTAGTGGTGGAGCTTTCTGTTTCTGTTAATGCTGTTAATACATATAGTAGATAAAGCACCTTGTATAATCAACAAGATTTTACTACAAGATTTTTTTTACTTCTGAGACTGCAAACCTGTGTGTATTTCTCTGAAGGTTTATGACAGGCGGGGATTAGAAACTTGAATCACTGTGAATGTAATTCACAATTTGAAGACAGTGATACAAAAAGACTCTTAAGACAGTGGATCGTGGCATTTAAATGAACAGGCTGGATACCATTCAAACAAGGGACTAACGAGTATAAATTAATACAACATTAATCAATGGTAATTGGCCCTTTCAATAGCCGACTAATCTTGTCTGTGTACAATATAAATTTAAAGGTTTTATATATATTTATTACAGTGTATATAGACTGTATGACAGCAGAGCTCAGAGCTTACCTTTATTACAAGATTAATGTTATTATGGACAGTTTTCATGTTCTTTGTTTTTTTTTATTGCTATGTACACCTAATAGGCAAGATTGTCATTTCCTTACAATATCTTTGTTTCCATTTCAAAGTAAAATTTTACTGCAGAGTGATGCTTTGAACCTAGACTCTGAACGTCATATGTCCAGACTTGTTTTGTTGATCCCATGAAAGTAAGTTGATAAAATTATCAAACTCATCTCTGCCCATCAGAATTAAATAGAAAGAATTCATGTTGTGTCAGAAACACATGCTGAAGGTGCTTGAAAGTTTGTCTGTTAATGATGGATCCATGTCTTTATAACAAATCATATAAGACTGCTGGGGATTTCTTTCTTAATGTGTGCGATATAAATAATATGGCCTAATGATGAATTTATAGATTTTTGATTAATTGTGTGTTTTGTTAAATTATTATACATCTATAAAGTGAAATATTTTATAGATAGTGTACATATAATAGTTTAATTTGTTGTCCACAGTTTTGTCTGATTAGGAACATGTATACTGGTATTAAATCAGAACACATTTAAATGTTATAAAGTTTTTTTTGTTTATTAGTGAAGGCAAAATATTTCATTCTTTCAAGGGGTTGGACAGATCCCAACTGTAACCCAAACTTTGTAAAATCTATAAGGAAGTTTCAGTGGTTCAATTGTTTTTAATATAATATAATATTTTAGATTAAAATGAGCGGTAATGCTGCCTGCATTAATTCACCGTTTCCCTACAGAGCCACTTAAAGTGATGGGAAGAGGAGGTGCACTCACAACCCATCTCCTCTATCACTGTAGATTATATTTCATAGCTTGTTCACATTTGCTCATTCAACATTTTTATAATACATAACTGTTTTCTCGACAAACTCTCACTAGTTTGTGGGTTTCCGTGCGTTATGTTAGGCTGTCAGTAGGTGGTGCTGTTGCATCATTCTTTGAGCTACAGCCAGGCTCAGAAGCTTAGGTCCTCCATCAGAGCAAAATAAAACTTCATGGTAATGATATGAGTAGTGTGTATTCAGCTGTTGGTGGGTTGTGTTGACAGTGTGGTGAGTTTCTCATGCAAATAGACTCTGCATTCTCACATTGTCCCATCTGCTGGCACCTAGACGGGTCCTGGCAAAGCAGTAAATTAATGCTTTCAATTGATTTATCCTGCTTTGTAAGTGCTTGTTGCACTTGTGGGACAGGTTAAGAGTCTGTCAAGATGTATCGACCAATTTAGATATTTACAATCATGTCCGTATGCGTATGTGATATGTGAAAATTGCCAGTACAGGCACAAGAGGCAAAGTCATGCTGTAAAATACCAATGAAATAAAATATTTTATGAATTAAACTATCTCTCTCATTCTTGACATGTTTCCTTTAAACAGTTTGATATGTCTGTCTGTGTGATCAATAACTACTGTCTCTCACTTCTTAAAGTAGCATTCTCCTTAAGCAGTGGGTCAGCCCCTCCATAAGAGGCAGCAGTTGTGCCCCTATTCTGCAGAGGACGGCTGTGCTGGCTTATGCAGCTGACCAGGTGCTGCTCAGCCCTGCATGGGTTTCCAATTCCATCTCCATGTGCCGTAGCTCCCCTCACTTTTCTGTGTATCCACCACGGGCTATTTGAGGAAATGAAGTTCTGACCCTTACACAACAAAATGATGGGATAATCTGTTTGCTTATCATTTGAAAAACATCACATATAACCTTTGTTCATAATGAAGGGCAGAAAAGAATCTAAAGAATTATTCTTTATAAATTCATGCTGCATTTTGGTTAAGCTCAACCATGCGACACCACCATGGTTGGTTAGAGACCATGCAGAGGTTTACTAGTGGAGAGAGCGTCTTCAGCCTCATGGTGAAATCTCAAAGTAGAAATGACAAATATGGAACATCCCACCACTTTGAAACAAGGTGTGCTTTACAGGCACAATATAATGTTAGGTTTTCTATGAAAACGAAAGAACTATCCCCAATACTCTCTGTGGGCCAGACTCCCAGTTCTGCTTCTCTGTAGTAACGTCATGTTTTTCCTGTCACACATGAAGCAGAAACCAAACACCATCTTCTGCAACAAATATCATTAAAATGTTTTTTTACTTTAGGAGATGTTTGGATTATCTTTGGAGAGGAGTGGCCAGGAGGCACGCTGTCCAACACCTCCTCTTCCATGATGCCCTGTTTATCCTCATATGGCGCATTAGAAAGCAGCATTAGAAAGCAGTGCACACTCAGCAAGTTGCACTGATTTGCGCAGCACATCACTAACAAAAATTAGTCTAAACAGGAGGAGGAATGTGTCCTTAAACTTCATGGGATCAAATCACACAATTTACCACTTATTAAAGGACATGTTCACATTTTTACAAGCCTGTCTTAAAGCAAAAACTGTTTCAAATCACATTCTCAGTCCTGGCTGTTGTTTTAAGACAAACTTGAAAAAAACCTATGTGAACCTAAGCACTTTTACCTGTCCATTAACAATATCTTCAGTATCAGTATCCTCAGACTTTCTTCACTGTAACACATGAAAAAGGAAACTTCCCCAGCCAGACTCCTGTCTGTTCTCTCTTTCAAAACAAATCTACTGTACATGCAGCACAAGAGCTTCAGTCGTCACTCTGCCACACTTAAAAAGGTAGGACTCTCATGTGCAGCGAGTGTATTGGTTCCAGCGACTGAATGCAGAGGCGTGTGCTATTCTTACTTTCTCTGACACTCTGACCCTCTGTGCTCTCATGATAGAGAGAGAGAGACCGAATTAGTTGACTGAAATAAAATTCTGACTGAATAGGTAGCAAGGTAGACGACTGTAAAAAAAACAAAAACATAACACATCCATTTGTCTCTACCTGTCCACTTCTCTCCCTTTTATTTTACTGGCTAAAATTCTTGACATATGATCACTAGGCCTATAACCCAATAAAAAAATACTGTACTTCTTCTTGCCCAAAGTCTGTCCCTCAGCTGACTGGGTTACATATCTTCTGACAAACTGAACTGTTTTCTGCCACCTGCTGCACACGCCCTTTCACCTTCCTCTTTCTCCTCCTCTCCTCCAAGTAGACTCTCCAGGAGACTTCCTTGAATCTCCTCCCCCTCAGCCCCTCTGACCTCCCCTCTTTCCCTCACTCCCCTACAACTGCCAGCCCCTCTACATTTTAGGCGCTTCATAGGCCCTTGGATTCCAAAATGGCTCACAACAAGTGCATAAAAGTAGCTCTACCTTGCTCTGTGGCCCCTCTAATCCACAACCCCCTCCCATATCACACACAGAGTGTGTTACTTTCAGTCTGCACCCGTGCAGCCCTCTCCTTTTCAATCTCCCTGCAGACTGAAGATTTCCCTCCCTCCCTCATCTTACCCTGTTTTTCTTGACATATTAATGAAACATTGAGAATTCCCTCTAATAGCGTGCAAAACTTGCAGCACCAAATGATGCAACTTCACATTACTGCTCAAATAAAAACACCTGATTGAAAGTATGAAAGACATAAAAATGTATTTGCTTATCATTCACTTTTCTCTTCCACCTGTTCCTCTCCATTAACCTGTATTTACTGTCAATACGTCATATCCAACCACTTGCTTTCTGTTGTCTGCTATAGCCTAATGAGGATCTAGTTCATGAAAGGTTATATATTAACATTTATCTGCTCTTGCTTGAGTCCAGCTTTAGGTTATGATGTGAGAGCACAAAACAAGTCACCTGTTTGCACAAACAATTAGGTCCAGCACTCCCTTATCCGTTATTTCTTCAATTGCTTCCCTCTTTGTAGAACATTTAACTTTCTGTGACAAAAATGTCACGAAATAAAAAGTTACATTTTCCAGCATTTCTTGTTATGAACATACTTCATGAAGTTCCAGATGCTAATCCACATTGATTTGGTCTCATTTTCTATTTTTTCCTGCAACATTAGCTTTCAGCAAAGGAATCATTAGGTGTCATGCATCTCTCTCCCTTGATTTACCAAATGAGGTATTTTTCTCTACACTTCTCCCTGTTCCTCTGTCATTCCTCACTTCCGTAGAGTTTATTATAAACTCTTTGGCACCTCCTCTTCCGCTCCTTCTGGTCACTCAATCATTCACTCACACAAACATCCATGTGCATGCATGTACACACACTGACTTTGACTAGTTTCTCACTCCTACATGCACACAGACACACATGCACATGTGCACTAGCGCCCCTCCTCCAGTAGAGTTATAATTAATCCAACTTCTCCAGTGACAGAGCAGAGTAGTCCCTACAGATAAGGTTTCAGCTGTTGGCTGTTTCAGTGGTTCTTTCCTTATTTATTCAACACGGCTCAGACAGGTCTGTGTGAATGCCCGGCCACGTGGTCTGCAGATGAGCAGATTTTGATTTAACTAATTGTTAATGTGTGGATGAAAACATGCCTTCTGTTGGATATGCAAGTGTTGCATAATTAAAAAATGGATTCCAGTTTGCAGTCGTGTCTGTGCACACTCACCAATAATCTTTATGATTAGTGATTTTTATCATAAGATGTGCATTCAAATAAGGCTGCAAACAAATGCACTTACATAGATGCAAAAAGACCTCCAGTTTTGTACTCTTGACTCTGTATTGGGCTCATTGTTATGCAAGCTGGAATCAATCAGGCTACAGTTAATCAATTACAAATATTCTACTTCAGATTGTATTACTGAGATTTTATGACTGGACCGATGAAGCACACATTTAAGTTTACACAGGGTGTTCCTCCTCAGCTTTTATCAGTCTTCTGATTTATTGTATTGATCACTATAATGAATGAATTGAACTCTTAATTGGCACTTTTAGGCTGCAGCACTGTTCCTGGATGATCTGTCAATCAGTGGTTTGGGCTCTGGCTCTGTCTGTGGTCTAAATCTGTTCAGATGAGGGCAGCATTTTCCCATTTTAAGGCTGGATGAGGCCTACTAGCAGCAAATCTATAACCCTGGTTGGTAGCAACTGGCGTCTCCCCTAGAAAACCCCCAGTGGCCCGCTGGCTCCTTATACGGCCCTCGAGGTGGGACCGCGTGGCTCGATGGGAGGTCAAAGCGACAGTTCCATATATGGAGCGCGCTCTCTCCACGTCGGGGGCGCGCAACGTCACTCCTGATCCTCTCCTGAATCCTGACTGATGGAGCCCCCTCCTTCCCTCCAGGAGGCGCGCCTTCTTTCTGCACCCCCCACCCACTCCTCACCATCGGCCCATCAGCGTCCTAATATGGCAGAGGCCCGGGATGGGCCAGTGCTGAGGTTTGTGAATGGTGGAGGTTGGGTATATAAGGTGGACAGGGAGCAAGGAGGATTGTAGCTGGTTCAGCAGCAGCACTGGTTGGGTCCTTCTCTCCGAGCCGCAGACACACTCCTAAGGTAAGACCCTGCTAGGACCGCCACTCCTGAAGCCACACAGCCAGGTTTGGGACACCAGACTAGGCCATAGCCAGAACAACAGCATGGAGCATCTACTGGAGCAGAAGTTAGGCAGGACTGCCAAGGACAGGAAGCCTAGGACCAGATACTAGTAGGGCAACATGGGCAACTCCACTGGAGGATAGGCTAGACTGAAAGAGGGGCCTGCTACTGAAGGAGAAGGAAAACATTTGTAAATATAGGAATACAGTGCGAGACAGGAGCAGCTCTTGTCTAACTTTCAGGTCTGGAAATTGAGGATAGATAGATAAATTAAAAGACAAACCAGATAAAGTTGACTGATTGACTGTCTTCAGCATCTTCATAGGTGTAACACTGAATTCTGAAAAGGTGCTGATGCAGCAACACGCAATGCGCCTTCAGACCAATTAAAAAGCCAAGATAGTTTACCTGAGAAAGGTGATAATAAGACAGATTTTGCCTATAGGCCTACCTGAAGTTTAGCAGATCTTTATTATTTTTTTGCTGAAGAGGTCGCATGGGTTTACACTCGCCAAATTAGAAGAATATAAAAAGCAAATCATATTCTAGACTCATCAAATTCAGACACGAAGGAAAACTAGTTTAGTTCCGTATTCTTCATTTTAATTAGGTTTATATTGGTTTGTGCGTCATGCGCAATGGCCTGATGTCAGTGCGCCACGGATGCATTTAGGGCAAGGCACCGGCCTGATCATGTTCAAGCTCCAGTAGGCTAAATGTTACAATTATATTTAATCTTTTTAGTCTTTACGATTAAGACACATCGTGTGAGCTTGCAAGAAACAAAGAGTTGAAACAATGTGTTAGTTTGGAAGTAATTTCTGTCACATACAGTAGTTATGTTTCGCCATGTGGATCTGAACTCTTTCTCTTCCCTTCCTCTGTTACAGCAGCCAACATGTGTGACGACGATGAGACTACCGCCCTTGTGTGCGACAACGGCTCCGGTCTGGTGAAGGCTGGCTTCGCCGGAGACGATGCCCCCAGGGCCGTGTTCCCCTCCATCGTCGGCCGCCCCCGTCACCAGGTAAACATCAGAGGAAGATCCCCAAACAATAACAGGAGAGACTAATTGGAAGTACTGATTTTAGGTTATGAAAAAATCAATTTCACAATTACTGTAATAATTAGCCTACACCTCAGCCAACCATTATCCAATACCTAGGCTACAGAGAAAAACAATTTGGTTTACACTAATTTTTACAAAAAAGAAATCAAATGACGTTCTTTCAGGCAGATGTACACTATTTTGGCAGATATGTCCTACAGGAGTGTATCTCGCATTTAACTGAGATTTTAATATTTTAGTGTTAGAATTTGTTGTTTTGTGAAGCAGGAAACTATTAAGCGATAACAGTGTGGCAGTATTATGTATCCCGAGCCATGTAATTTTGGCCCCTTTCCCCAGCAGCAATGTGGCCTTTGACTCTTTGAGACTAAATTAGTCACAGATGAATTGAGAAACACACACAATTGCTCTGCCTGTCGCTCTGTGACACGCGCTGTCATTTGCCACATTCACGCTATGGTCATCGTGCCTTTTGTACCACACAGTAAAGACTTTAATCTGGCCGGAAGAAGGTCATACCTCTGTTTGGATTATTTGAGACGTAACCTTTCCCTTATCTCGTCCTCTCTTCCCCCTTCAGGGTGTCATGGTCGGTATGGGTCAGAAGGATTCCTACGTCGGCGACGAGGCCCAGAGCAAGAGGGGTATCCTGACTCTGAAGTACCCCATTGAGCACGGTATCATCACCAACTGGGACGACATGGAGAAGATCTGGCATCACACCTTCTACAATGAGCTGAGAGTGGCCCCCGAGGAGCACCCCACCCTGCTCACTGAGGCCCCCCTGAACCCCAAGGCCAACAGAGAGAAGATGACCCAGATCATGTTTGAGACCTTCAACGTCCCCGCCATGTATGTGGCCATCCAGGCTGTGCTGTCCCTGTACGCTTCCGGCCGTACCACTGGTAAGACTGACAGCTTCCAAAACATGCATAGGCTAATAAACAAAGAGATGTTGTAGACTATAATGTAACTGACAAGTGTAACTGATGGTATAACAATGTCAACACATAATATAATTTGAGCTATTGATGCGCCAATTTCCAAACGCACAACTTTTACGCACAGTCGGCCAGCCTTTCTGGGACTGTTTACGCCATTATATGGCCCATATGGAATATACATTAATTGTGTATTTGTAAATCCTCCTTCAAACACCCACTTTAGCCGTAATTTTACGCACAAAACTGAAACGTTTGAGGACATTTTACTAAACACTCGCCTTGCCTCTCTCTAGGTATTGTGCTGGATGCTGGTGATGGTGTCACCCACAACGTCCCAGTCTATGAGGGTTACGCCCTGCCCCACGCCATCATGCGTCTGGACTTGGCTGGTCGCGATCTGACCGACTACCTGATGAAGATCCTGACTGAGCGTGGCTACTCTTTCGTGACCACCGGTGAGGAACTCGGCCTACTCCACTAACAAAGCAGCTGAAAGAAAGAAGCACTACTCAACCTTTTAGGCAGATATTATCTTGCAGATTATAATATAAATTATTATCATTCCTTCATATTTTGTTTCAGCAGCAGTTTTGGAACAGTTTGCTATACATAGTCTAAACACTAAACCGGATCGATATCTGACCATTTGATGACAATCTTGCTTAAAGAAAAATGCTATAAACTTGTGTAATTTAATAACATAATGGACACAACGTTGTGGCATATTTCTGCCTGTGTAAAGTATTAACATTATTATTAACACGAACAGTGAAAAGAGGATGCAGCTCTGTGTTTAAGGAAAGCAAACCATTTTCAGCTTTAGACATTTCTGTAACTTCGAGTACCTTTCGTAGTTCCGCCCACCTAATTAGTTTTCCATTACGCACACACTGTCTGTGGTCTCGGCTGTTTGCCACTCTGAATGACATCTCATCAACTTGCCCACATACAGCCGAGCGTGAGATCGTGCGCGACATCAAGGAGAAGCTGTGCTATGTGGCTCTGGACTTCGAGAATGAGATGGCCACCGCTGCCTCCTCCTCCTCCCTGGAGAAGAGCTACGAGCTTCCCGACGGCCAGGTCATCACCATCGGTAACGAGAGGTTCCGTTGCCCCGAGACCCTCTTCCAGCCTTCCTTCATCGGTTCGTCAGATAATCCTTCATCTCTCATTACGAACAACGCTGGCAATTTGTTCCAGGCTCGACACCCTCCCTCCTTCTAACACTTGTCTCTCTCACCTGACCAGGTATGGAGTCTGCTGGCATCCATGAGACCGCCTACAACAGCATCATGAAGTGCGACATTGACATCCGTAAGGACCTGTATGCCAACAATGTGCTCTCCGGTGGTACCACCATGTACCCTGGTATTGCTGACCGTATGCAGAAGGAGATCACTGCTCTGGCCCCCAGCACCATGAAGATCAAGGTACACAATAGGACAACCAAAACATTACAATGTGCTTTATGCATAAATTGATAATTACGCATACATTTAAACTAACCCTAACCCTAATTCACAATTTATTAAGTATTAGCATTAATTAATGGCACTTTACTAATGCATTTTCTCCCCCTCCCTCTCCTCCCCTCCAGATCATTGCCCCTCCCGAGAGGAAGTACTCCGTCTGGATCGGTGGCTCCATCCTGGCTTCCCTGTCCACCTTCCAGCAGATGTGGATCTCCAAGCAGGAGTACGACGAGGCAGGCCCCAGCATTGTCCACAGGAAGTGCTTCTAAATCCCCCACCTTCTCCAGCTTCTCCATCATCTCCATCATATACACCACCAGCTATCTGGAGATCAAGCGAGAAGGAGGATCAACTTCTGCGGCACAGCAACACTCTGCTGTCAATGGACTTTCTGTCTGGGCTATTGACTTTTATATGCATGTTTAAGCCTTTTAAAATGTGCATATTTTATTGCTGTCTGTTGTCTGTGCTGCACGGAGAGAGGCTGTGAAAAACCACCACTGAACCATGCATCCACCCAAAAAAACTTTAATAAAAAAATAACAACAACATGTTGCCCAACACATGTGAATGTAAGTGTATATACATATTGATAACTTATTAAAGTCCATTATTTGGTATTTCTGACCCTGGCCTTGTTTTTCTATTAGAGGGAGGGTTGTAAGAGAGGTTGAAAAACAAAAGCTTTGGTGAAAATTACAATGGAAATAAGGGAGGATTTCCAGAATTCAAAAGGTGTTATTCAAAAATAAATTTGCCTTCACAATGCTAAAATAATGTCATCATAAAATTCAATAGGAATACCAGCTAGAATTGGGGGAAGATCGGGGGAAATTAACCGAAATCATCGTAACAATTAAGCCCAGGAGAAGCTTAATTGACTCAGCAGTTAAACATACACCTGAATGACACACAGCCTTCCCATAAACCAATCAGCTGATCGGGGGCAAGGGGAAGTAGGCCTACAAAGAGGTCGATAGGGGTGTTGGCACAGCTCCCTGGATCATTGTTAGATGGGTGAGAGGGAGGGAGATAGGTTGGCTCTCTTTGTACCATCATCCACTGCTGGCCGGGGGCTGCTGGGTGACAGAGGCTGGGTGACAGGCAAGACTTCAAGCTCCCACAGTCGGAGTTTGACTTGCCAGGAATGTGCCTGGGCAGCAGCAGCTCCACTTTAGACCGAGCGGATCAGTTGCCTGGGACACCCGACACCCGGCTCTGAATCCCGTTGAGCTGCCTGCCCTGCAGCCCCGACCCCCAGACCATCTTTAGACAAAACCAGACCCCGTGTACAGTGGGGCATCTCCGCAGCCCTACCTTATATGCATAAAAGCGCAGCAGGTTATCTGGGTGTGGGATTAGGATCTGGGCTTAAAGCACAAAGGAGCGTGCTGGGCGCGTCTGAGGCGCGCACCACCCTGTGCCCACATCATTTACATCACCCCATCGACCTGTTATGTAGCCTATAATAAGACACCCATCATTCTTCTTCTTTTGACACCCGCATTTGAATTTATGGCTACATGTAGCCAACAGATAGGCCCACAAAAGGCAAAGTTAAGTGCATACATGAATAATCAGCTGGGTATGGTACTTTTTGAAGCCATTAGTGGCCAATTAAAGCACTATCTATCCTTATGTATCAAGCAACAAGTTACTAATTCAAGCTTTTTTGCGTGTTGAAGCTGCGCATAGAGTCTAAATAGCCTACAATAAAACAAATAGGCTAGTCTTTTCACCCTCTGTTACTATCTGATATAAATAATTATCAGCCAAATGGTTCATAACCGCCCTGAACGCATTCCTGAAATCCCAGCCCGGAGCCACCTGTTGCGGGTGTGTTTGGCTTTTTAAAAACGTCTTGAAGCGGGCGGAGCTAAGAGACGAAGCCAGTGATTACAACAGCGCCGTGAACGCCATCTGTTCCGCTCTGCTTCCGTGCAATCCGACTCCAGTGTAAGTATATTTATGTACACAAAATTAGACTCTTTCGGGCCTAATTGTCTTCGGTCAGGCATTGCACTGTTGTAGATGAGAGTGGATGGATGCGATTTTACGTGTTCTAGGCTATATCTGCAAGCGCTGACAGGCGATTATCGGCACTCCATATTAGCATATGATTAACAGATATCTATAAATAACACTGAGATTTTTGTCATGAGGAGGTATTATGGAGCAATAGGCAACTGATAAACCAAAAGTCTTGATTGGTATTTTAGCAATAAGGAAAATAAGGTTGTAATGTTGTATCTCAACATGTTTTAAAGGAGTGTTTTCGTGCAGTGACTGCGGCTGACCTTTAATTTGGAATATTCAACAGTAACTGCAGCCAATCAGAGGAGGCGATGACTGCTACGTCATCACGTTCAAGAACTCCCTGCCGTCAGCAGCGTTGTAACGGTCGATCAAATTTATTTTTATTTTTTATTTTTTTTTCACAGTAAAACGCTGATTGAGTAACTTTTATCTTCGTCCCCAGCCCACAGAGCCGAGCTAACCCGAGTTGAGGCGGAAGTAGGCGGGTGCTGTAACCGGGGGAAGCCGCCCGCTGCTCTGCCATTGGTTTTAACTGTCTCTGCATTATGGTTTAAATGTCCGAGACCAAACAGAGCTGCGTATGAGACAACGTCGTAGATAGTTGTTGGTACTTATAATAACGCAACGTTTTTGCAATGTAGTAGATATAACATATATCATTGACCTGTTATACGTGTGTAACAACGCTAGTTTTTCAGCGTTGTGGTCTGTTGTGGGATTTCAGTTGAAAGGGAAAGAGTTGTCCAAAGGTTGACAAGATGGTGACCAAGAGGATCCGCTCGGAGTACATGAAGAAATTCAAAGACCCCAAATGGGAGACTTACACAAAGTGTTACGAGGAAATGCTTAAGTACAGGCTGACCCGCAGGCTGCTGGAACACACACACAACCCCTGGTTCTGGGCTGGCTCCGACACCGATTCTGACTCTGGAGGGAGAAGCCCCCCTCCTCCCACTAAGAACCAGGTACGATGTGAGACCAGCAGAGACAGGACAGAGGCTGAGCTGGAGGAGTGTGAGGGGGCGAGGATGGACAGAAACGCAGGGCCTGTACCCAGGCTTCCCCTTCAAGAGGAGGAGGAGAATGTGTCTGCTCGACAGTCTGCAGTCCATGGTAGAAATCTGCTATAAATATGATTGAAAGACTGCATAACATATTGGGATGTATGCATGTTACTCTACAGTACAATATGATGTTGTTCACTCCTATCAGGCTCACAGCTTGAAGGTGCTGGAGAGACAAGAGGACCAGAGGAGGAGAGAGAGGAGCAGAGAGCCAGCAGCAGAGGCAGTAAACAGCTGTCAGTCCCTCACAGGGAACAAAACAGAGGTAATTCATATATGCAAATATGCATAAGCCCCTGAGAGTGAGTCATGGTCAAAATGAAAGAAACAAGGAAAATTTTAAATCTGGGATGGGCAAAAGGGTGATGACAGAGTCTGGCCTCGAGAGGATAACCGAAACATAGAGAATACACTAAGCCACTACACTACACACTCTCAAAAAATTAACCTGGCTTTACACCGATTGGGTGACTCAAGGTATCATATTTCACCAACACTTCTTGTGGATACAACTGTTAAAAATGAATGTCCAATATAAATGATAATGTGAAAATGAAAGTATGTAAGTAGCATGGAAGGCCTGCTGAAGTTCTTGTTCGACTGCTTTTGTTTAGACAACAATTAACATTTGAGATGTTTACTTTTTGTTAAGTGAAAAACATGTTTACATACCTTGAAAAATGATTAGTATTGGTGCTGAAACTCAGGTATTTTGCTGTCTTCAGTTTCACTCTTTCCCTCCTAAGAATATGGTGATAATATCACACTGTGAACCAGGTACCATAATATTCTGCTGCTGCTTTAACCTGTCTGCCTTTCCTATTTGTAGAGAGAGACACTGGTGAACCACAGCAGAGTAAACCTAAGAAATCCTCAAAACAAACCTGGCGCTCTCAGCGGGTTAGACCTGCGCCAACACAGCAGCCCAGGGAGGACGTTAAGGACAGCAGACATCCTTTCGCTCTGTATGGTTCAGGAGAGAAGGATGCAGACATCGCAGGCAGGAAGACGCACAACGTTGGCCCTGCAGCTTCCACTAATGAGGTAATCTGTCTGCCTGCTCTGTAGATCTGTATGCGGCATGTGTTGGGACTGAGTTATGTTTATTTTCCTGGCAGATCCATGAGTCAGCTCTCCGTGCTAAGATGAGGCGGGAGGTGGAGCGTCAGATCCAGACCCAGAAGACCGAGCGCCGGAGAGCCAAGTCTGCCGACTTGGACAAGGCCAGGAAGGTGGTTCCACCAGAATTCAATCCCTGGCTCACTGAGTACATGCGCTGCTTCTCTGCTCGCTCCCGTTAGGACACACACACACACACACACACACTCAGCAGAAATACTTACATCAGGGTGATTCCAGACAAAACCACAAAAATAAAGCCATTATAGCCCTGAAGTTTAAACACCCATAGATGGGGGTGGATTGATTCATACAAAGGCTGCTGAATGTGTATCACTCTCACATTCATGATGTAAACTGACAAAACCTTGAAATTCACTGTGTGGCTTAATATTTTTTATATAAATCAATTGAATATATACATTAATCAACATTTTACAGGTTAGAGGTGACTCTCGAAAGAAATTGTTTGAAAGTAAAAGCGCAAATAATGGATAGGTCTACCATATACAGATATTTTGATGAGAATAAAGAGTCTAAAATACATTTTACAGCCATATTTTGATGTAGTACCTTTAAACACAGCTATATAATGTGTCCGTATTTGTTATACAGGGATATGAAAGCACAGTTGACTCACACAGGGGTAATGAAGACATGGCAGCATGTCTGAATCATTTGTGTTCTTAAAAACGCTGAGATCAAATGTGAGACCACGAACACACACATATACACAAACCCAAACACACACAATCAAATAGTTTGTTTTACAAAACATTGTTTTAACAACAGCAAGCTGACAGTACGACGTATTGACTGACATTCAGAAATATGACAGTGGACTGGTTCTTATAGATTTGGGTTATGTTTCACTTTATGGATTGATCTTAACGGACTTGGCTTAGCTAATAAATAGTGAATCACTGTACTTAAAATCACAGTTGTGTGATGTTGCATTTTCTCATGAGCCCATTGACACTTTAACATGCTATTGACTTAATGTTTAGCAACAACAAGTGTTTTTGTTATTTGGTTGTGTTAATGTGCGTTTGTAACAATCAACCCGGTGCTATCGTAGTATGAAAATAGATGCGAGTGACATTTGAAGCCATTGGATGTGTTTCTTTTATACAGTCACTGGTTATTTTCAAAGCATACCAATGTAAGGTTTATTGTTGAGACCACATTTCTTTATCATTATTGTTACTGAATATGCTTTAGAACCAAAAGTGGAACCGTAACAACACTGGACATGAAGCAGATTACCTTAAGTCAGAAACTCACGGGTACATATCGCTGCTTTACTGCTTAAAGCAACACGTGCTCTAAAGCACGACCAAATCAGACAGCACTTTGATAATCCCTCACCTTTTTATTTTTACAGAATACCTTGCTAACTATTTAGGTTTTCATGTAATTTGTTCATCTTTTAAATCTGTGTATATATGTTTGAACGTTTATGTGAATGTACTGAACATCAGATAATGTTTTCACTCAGCGTAACACAGCCTTTGTGTGATGGGTCTGGGCTCTTCATCATCAAAACCATCTTGGTTTCATTGTGTCAGCAATCACGATAAAATCAGCTCTGTGCCATAACGACAAGTTTTTTTTCCTTTGCAATTATAGATATAGTTGTTATTGATGTAAATATTGTGCTGAAAAAAAGGGATGGGAGGATTGGAGGTGTGTGCTTTACATGTGGACATTTTTATAAATCTTCATGTTTTGTTGTTGCAACTCTGAGTTCAGACGGTATTACATTCCTCACTTTTAAAAAGATTTAGTTTTCCAGTGTTTTTAATAATATAATATACTGCAAGATAGTTCAACAACAGATGTGATGTTTTGTGCAATATTATTATTATTTAAATCATTGCATTTGAGCCAGTGTGTGTGTGTTTTTTATTTGGTGAACTCTGACAATCTCAGAAAGCAGGAGTAACACCAAATTTTATAGTTAAGATTCTTTTAATGCTGTGGATACATTATACTTTTGGTGAGGAAATATTTTCCTTTTACATTTTTTTCTTGGTTTATTTTGTTACATAAATATTGCTTTAGAACAGGATAGTGCCTTCCCACTTAAGAATTTTAATCAGGGGGAATGAAGAAGAAACAGAGATTATGACCAAAAAGACAAGTCCTGAAGTTTTAACTTTTGACCAACTCCACAGCGTAGAATCTGGATTTAGTGAAAAAGGAGAGAGTCAAATCGTGGGCATCTTAATACAATAGAATTAATCTACTTTACTGATGACATAAGAGGTGTAACAATCTCACGATACATTTTTATTTTTACATTTTAGGCTTGTAACTTACTGTGTGAACATATTTTAAATGATTTAGAGGAAAAGAAAGTAAAATGATGTGGTGCAAAGCTTTTAATAAATCACTTTTCCACCTGTTCGCTGTGATCTGTTCATCTCTACCAAACTACACAAATTACTCAGAAAATCAAGAAATGAAATCTCTTTAAAAGGAAGACATCTAACATCAATAACACAATGGACCATCTCCAAAAACGTGGATTAAACCATCAAAAAACTGCTTTTCAAAGACAACGCTGTATTTTTAGTATTTTTTATTTTAAAAACATATGCCTTTATCATCCACAATAAATTAAAAATCCATGATTTTCATAATGACAAGAGAAAAACAGACACACATAAATATAAACTTGACATAAACACAAGACAGCAACCTGATGTGGATCAGCCAAAGCCATTATCAGACCAGATTTAATGTGAAACATTTCTAATGTGCTTGATTTAAAAGTTAAATTCATAATTTGTAAGGGGCAAAAATGTAGAAAATAAAAACATAACAACATGATATGATGCTTGAATACACCAACTAACACGCCTCTAAGCCTAAATCAAATAAGTGTCTTTTTGTCAAGAGCTTTATGCGGCTGAACTGTTTCAAAGTTTAAAACAGGAGACATAAAAGTGTCTTCGGAGACAAATAAAAAAATTTTAAACACACATCAGACAGTTTCTCACCATTGCTAAAAGTTGAAATGCATTCAGTTAGTATCACCCCTCTGCTGGCAGCAGTCAGTGAGGTTCATGTAAACAGGCATCATTTATAAATGAGAGAGCGCGAACTGGAATCCTTTGGATAAAGACGTCAGATTAGTCACTTAACTGAATGGTGCCATTGTAAAATAAAATATGACACTTTTACACACACACACACAAACGATTTAAATGAACTATAACAGGAGGCCAAACGTATGCTCGGGATATGTCAGGCTGCTTCTGTCTCTTTTTTTAATCTATGAGCTTGGACATGATAAAACTGCATTTTCCAATATAAATGTGTTAGTCCGTAATGTGATTCACATCAGCTTGTCCCATTTACAAATAAACAGCATTGCTGCAAACAGTACTGTCCATCTATACTGCTTGCAAGTGGCCAGTGTATTGAAGCTTAACATGATAATAATAACAATACAGTGGAGCAAGAAACAGATGCTGGATATGATCTCTATTTTAATATACACATAATATCTCTTCATAATGAAATACTCTGATATTCAGTTTGAGAAAACATGCGTCAATCTCTATATACATAAACACTGTACAGTGTATAAGATGCAGGAGAGATTTAGAAAGGCAGAGAGCTATGTAAAGAGATGGGCAGGTAGACAGGTAAGCAGACGTGTAATAAGGTAACAGACGGAGTGATGGGATGTAAACGATGGAAGAAATGTAGGGATGGAGGGTGGTAGAGGACAAAGCGTAAATTTGCCAGCTGGGGGCACTTTACTGGGAGAAAGTTTGTGAGAAGGGAGTGAAATATGCATACAGGGAGTGCAAAATGTGTAGTCAGTAGACTGTTAGTGGTGTGTTTAAAACAACGAGGATAGGAGCGTTTTAAAATATGTATGTGGTATAAGGGATAATTCAAAAATTTGAGAAAATTGTTTTCTTGCCAAGAGTTAGATGAGAAAATAAATACCTCATGTCTATGCGCAAAGTATCAAGCTGAGGCCAGGAGGCAATTAGCTTAGCTTAGCTTAAAGACTGAAAGAAGGAGGAAAAGGCTAGCCTGGCTCGCTACTAAATAAAATAATCCACCTACCAACACTTTGAAGCCAACTGATTAACATGCCTTATCCTGTTTTAATTTGAACACAAAAAGGCAAGACAGCAAGTGTCCCAAAATGTAGAGTGTTACTTTAAGTCGTGTAGCTGGAAGGTAGACGGGGATGAGTGACAAAATGAAAATGTACTAAGTTGGGCAGGAAGCTACGGAAGCACATTGCATTCCCCAAAGAAAATAAATTACGAGATAAGGTGTCTGATTTTTTTTTTTTTGGTGAATGCAATGCGCTTCTGTAGTAAGCAGGTAAAGGCAAGTAGAAAAGTAAGAGAGAGATGGAGAGAAGTTACACGTCAATAATTCCCACCCTGATTGGAGGGCTGGGGTGGTTTTGGTCCAATCATGGAGCAGAAAGTAGGTGGGTCTCTGGTTACCTTGAAGATGCCCAACGTTCTGAGAGTGGGGGGGGGTCGTGGCTGGGAAGTCTTTTTTAGCTCTCTGCAGGTGCTGCCATTACAACGAAGGTTCAAAAGGTTCCGAAGGTTCTGAAGGTTCCGTGCGAAGGTCAAAGGTCAGAGAGGAGTCACCAGCATAGCAACCTGAACCCAAGGTTGTTTGGGTCCCCCGTGGCTGTTCTTCTTCTGGTTTTCACAAGCCTGTCTGAAACACACTTCTCACACACACACATACACACACACACACACACACAGGGAGAGAAATAAAACATCTTAATGAAATAAAGAACTCCTTTAAAACAGATTTATGTCTTCAATAGGAAGGAATGGTCATGGGACTGCGAGACAAGCTGGGGAAGTCAGAAAGTACTGAGAGACTGAAGCTTTGTGAGTTTTGGTATTTTCATGGGATATGTTGACAATGACAAAAATATTGAATATCGCCAGCCTTATCGTTTAAGTCACTAGTAAATGTTTACCAGTAGGAAAATCCTCTTGAATAACCTTAATGAAGGCATCCTATGCTTCATTTCACATCTGTTAAAGTTTAGACCAAGTTCGAAGTAGCAGCAAAAAACGTATGCCCTTAAAACCCCTCCACCCCAAATTTCACCTTGTCTGTGTGTGTGTGTTAGTGGGCGCGTGCGTCCACTAGCAGCCGCACTCCTGGGTGCCCTGCGGCTGAGCACGACGGGGAGAACGAAGCTGACGTAACGCAGCGTCCCCATACTGGATCCCTGAACCCATCCTCTCTGGATCCAGCTCACCTGAAACAAAGAGAGACACAGGATGATGCAGAGACGAGCGTGAGAGGCTGGGGTTCACGCTGGGATCACTAACTCTGAAGAGATGGTATTTTTTAAGAAATGCAGTTTATAAAAAATTACACTAACAGCCAGTCATTGTCACTGTACAAAAAAACATCGTCATTAAACAAAAATCCATCCATCCATCCATCCATCATCAACCGCTTATCCTGCGTACAGGGTCGCGGGGGGCTGGAGCCAATCCCAGCTGACATCGGGCGAAAGGCGGGGTACACCCTGGACAGGTCGCCAGTCCATTGCAGATTAAACAAAAATAATTAGAAAAATTAGACACTATGGCTGTATTGGAAACTGCCTACTATATGTATGTACTGATTTGTACTAAATGTCGTATAAAAACGAAATCAAAAATAAACGGATGTCGTTCTGTTTGGAAAAAATCTCCAGTATGCTTTGGGTCTAACCCGGGTACTGTGTCCCAAAATGCAAAGCGTACAGTCTTTTAAAAAAATAAATAAAAGTAATCTTTATTTAATTAGGCAGTCCCAACAACCACAAATGCAGCTAGCTAGAACGTTACGTTTGTTACAGTGGTACTCCTATTGTTTACTTTCACTTTCCAAAAGCAGAAACCGGCTAAGCCTGGCCTAGCATACTGCTAAATAAACCAATTTAACGTTTTAATGCGACAAACTACTATGAAAAGCAGTATGTACTACATTCAGCAGTCGCAGGTAGTATGCGGTTCAGAATACAGCCGTAATAAGTAATTAATTAAATGTTAATACCAAGTTTAGTGTCAGCTTAAAACAGATGTGTAAATCCTCTTCTGCTACATCCCTTTGTAACTCTGGAGAACTGTGAGCTCATCTGGTTTGCCACTAATTTCTTATCTCCTCACGAGACAGTTGTTTCTGTTCTCCTGGAACGATGGTGAAGGTTTATGGGGTCTGGGCTCGTGAGGGAGATAAGTCTGTTGACTTTAACCCTGAAAATTGTCTCTGACAGCTGCTACAGCGTCTGGAGTCACACCTAAAAGCCGAAATGTTGATCCTGTTAGGACAAGAAAGGATTTAGAGTCTGGGGGTTTGGGTTACAGGTGAGGATCACAGCTCCTACCTGACTCTATCTTGTTGAGGATTTTCCGAGCGCACTGAACAAAGGCCTCTTCAACGTTCTCCCCAGTCAGAGCGCTGGTCTCCAGGAACATCAGCTCTGACACACACACACACACACACACACACACACACAGACACAGACACACAATAACAATACAATAATCAATTCAACAACCGCAGTAAATTGCAGTAATTTCCGAAAAATCAAGGTGCTAACGGAGTATCCAAACATGTCGTTCCTCTAACAGCAATAGGTAAATGCCTGGATCTCCCTGACTACTGAGATGAATAATTTCCTCAGCTGTTGTTAGAATCCCACTTGATCACAAATTGTTGATCCTACCGTTCTCCTGAGCGAAGCGCGAAGCCTCCAGGAACGTCACCTCTCTGTCAGCGTCCAGGTCCTTCTTGTTTCCACACAGGATGATGACGATGTTCTGACTGGCCAGCATCCTGGCATCGCTCAACCACGTGGTCAGAGCGTTGTAAGTCTCTCGACTGCAGTGCACAGAGACAAAGAGACAGAGAAGAGGAACAAGTTAGAAAGGAGAGGGGAGATGGCAAAAAACTAGATTAACAAGAGTGACTATGAGGTGATCTGAAATCATGTTCTGTGGCTGATTTACCTGGTGATATCATAGACCAGCAGGGCTCCTGCTGCTCCTCTGTAGTAACTCCTGGTCACAGACCTGACACACACAAACACACACACACATAAGCTTATAGCCACAATGAGCAGGTGGTCAAATATTATATGGTAACCTGAGGGCCATGAGGCCTGAGGGACCCCAATGAGTTCCCAAACCTTTTCTTTCTATCATTGCCCCCCTTTGATGCACAGGTGAAACTACTGAAATAAACAATGCCTCTGTTACAGTAATTGCAATGTATTGCATAAATAAATGTGATACACATAAAGTAACAAAAACAACCTTCCCAGCTGGTAATTAACCATGTAGAGTTATGTTGTGAGTTTTCCCTACCTGAACCGTTCTTGTCCTGCAGTGTCCCAAATCTGC